AGATCGGTTTCTTTACTCATGTGCTTCTACTTCAACAGCCGAAGCCGTCGCCGATGCGTCGCGAAAATAGCCGAATAAACGTTTTGTTACTGATCGCTCGTTCGTGATTCGTGAAACGTGAATCGTGTTACTGAGTAAAACGTCTACTGTAATAGATAGTTTCGTTGCACTGCAATAACCCGCTACCTGCTATTGTGTGATAGATAGTTTCAGTAACTAGTTACGTTTTGTAACACCACTCCTAACCGCGACCGAGTCAGTATTGAATTGGCGATGCAAGTGAATACTTGGAAGCGATATAACTGCGAACTAAAGTGATCAGTAGTACAATTGTGTTTTATTATTATTTGTAATTGGTATTCAGTAATTAAAGTTTCAATTTTGGTAATTCAATCGGCGGTTTTTATTTACATGAACCCCAAGCTCGTAACAGTATATATTTCTACGGGCTAATGATCTTAGCAGTAAGTCCTTGATGCCTGAAATAAAGTTATTGTATTGTATTAAGTGAAGTCATTGCACTTTACCATTTTTCCGCTTCATTATCACATACCATCAAGTGAGATAGTAGTCGAGAACTGGCTTACAATAGTAAAAAAAACTTAGCACAGGACTAATTTACGCAAACAGACCATAAATCCATAATTTTTTTCTCCTTAAAAAGTCATTTACATTTACAGGTGGACAGGGTGTTTAGGAAATTAGATCTGAACCAGGACGGCGTAATCACGATCGAGGAGTTCCTGGAGTCATGCCTGAAGGATGATGTCATCACTCGCTCGCTGCAGATGTTTGATACAGGACTATGACGTCAGACTGACCCAGCGCACACGCGCGTAGCCGCGAGGTAAATACGTCTACTCATCATCATCATCATTACAGCCCTTCACAAGTCCACTGCTGAACATCGGCCTCCCCCAAGGAATGCCACAAAGCACGGTCCTGAACCACCTGCATTCATCGACTTCTTGTGTATCTTACCAGGTCACCAATCCATCTACTGATCCGCCCTACACTTCGTCTACCGGTACGAGACTGCCACTTGAGAACCTTTGTTTTCCATCGGTTGTCGGTTCTTCGAGCTATATGGCCGACCCATTGCCACTTCAGCTTACTAATCTGTTGGGCTATGTCGGTTACTTTGGTTCCACTGCGAATACTAACCAACTATAAATAAGGAGGTTCTTAAGGGACACCCTCGATGGAATTTTATCGACCAAATTGGCGATACGAGTATATTGAAGATGAGTCAAATTAACAGTACTGAAGGCGACACGCACGTTCTGTACGTACTTATTTCTACTAATGTTAAATTTATTTAATTTAGGGTTGATGATATCGATGTTATGTCAAAACATATTTTGTCACAGAATACCAGCTAAATAGCAGCTTAACGCTGCTGTGTTTCGTATGGTGAGTGAAGAGAACCGGAGACCCCTTTCACTGAAAACGAGGCATTCTATGTTAGTCCTCAGGGGTGACAATGTAGATGCATTTTGATTCGTATTCGAGTAAAAGTTTGTATTTTAAAAATTATTAAAATACTTTTGAATAGTCGACTGGCGTTTCAATCGATCAATCACTTCAATCACAGATTACTATATACCAGTCTACGAACTTCGATTGTTCTTAAGGACGACATGCTTTATTTCGACGGACCACTTTAATATAAGTACCCTTAACCGAACGAGTGTAATATATGCGCAGATTTTTATGGATATAAAAGAAACGAGAGAGGTGTCAGGATCGTGTCAAATGGACATCCATTAGTCCGTAGTCTCTGCCTACATGTTTAAGTAATAGGCGTGATAGTTTATGTTTTCAGACTGTTTTTTTTTTTTATAGAATATGGGTGACAAACGTTCACACAGTCCATCTGATGCAAGCGGAATCGTGGCCCATAAACTTCTGTCGTCATGATGGCCAGCAGATGCGCTGTCGCCCCTGAGGACTAAGATAGAATGCCTCGTTTTCAGTAAAAAAGGGTATCCGGTTCTCTACACTCACCATACGAAACACAGCAACATTAACCTTTTATTTTACGCTGGTATTCTTTTAGATCGTGGTCCTACCGCGGTCGAGCCAACCCATTCATGCTACAAGCCTATTATAGCTGCAGTGTTGCTTTACCACTTAAGCGATATCTTCGTCCATTTGAAACCGATCTTGATGATTTTTTATAAATATGAAGAAAACATTCCACCCCCAGGGATGGAATTTTTAATGTAAATTTTAGACGACATTCCTATTGTTAGATATTCTATTAGTGAGCTTTCCGTATTACTTAGTCCGCTCAAAGGGTCAAATCATATCATGATCTTTAAAAAAAAGTAAAAAGTACAGTAAAAACAGCCTATCAAGTATATATTGGTGTGAGGGGTGGGGTAATGACTATTTGGGATACTCGCCAATCGGGTTGGCAACCGAGGTTTTTTATTTTTTAGTTGTTAGAAAGTTAGATGTTCATTTTGTTCACTATATTCTGAGCGTACCATGAGTTACCTTTTAAATTGATTTTTCCCTATTTGCTCATTATAGTCAACCAAATCTAAGAAATAACTTTTGATATTTCACATTAATCATACCGCAATAACTTTGCACAAGCGTACTCAAACGATTTAAAGTAACTCTTTACGTAAATCCGAAGAATTATGATGTTATCTATATTTCAGTGTTCATGTTTAGTTTTTTATCACAAATTTAAATTAGAATCTTTCAAACAAAGCAAAATATCATTACATTTTTTTGATATTTTGCTTTAAAGTTAAAAGTTACAGCCGTATATAGGCTGTAACTTTTAACTTTAAAGCAAAATATCAAAAAAACTAACCAGTATCAACTTTTTTAAGTGACGTCAATTCTATGATATGTCGCTATGTACATTACCGTAGTGTTTGAGTGATTAAAATTCATTGTTATGCGAATAATCGGTAAAAATATTCAAATAATTGTTAAAATATATTCAAATAATCGAATCATTAGTTTTTTAATGTATTATTTAATTAATTAATTTTTAATTAAAATTATATAAATCATGAATAAAACAAGTTTATTTTTTTACTTTGTCAACGTAAATTTGTGTAGACAAAAAAACTCATACAAGGCCACACTGAAAAAACCACTTATCTTCCGCCATTTCGGGAGCTTACTGTGCGTAATTTTGTGTTTGTCTTCTTATTTCGTGACTCGGCTTTAACTTTTTGGACTGTTTCTTCAATATTCGTTGAAGCATGTGCCCATATCACAAAGGATGATTGGGTAAAAGTGGTAACAAAAACGAAAAATTTATTATGGAAAACTTTGAAAGAGACATAAATTTTGACTTCCTTATTGAAAATCAAGTAGTAATTAAGCTAAACAACGACAACTCAACCAGTTGTACTGAAAGTGATTAAATTAATTTATTTTTAATCCAGTTCCAAACTTATAAATCTTGTGTTTTGAATTATTCGTTTTTAATTTATTCTGGTATTATTCAACCCAAACTGTAAATGATTACCAAATCTAAATAATCGATATCGATTTTTTTAAGAATCGAATATTGTATGTTTCAATTTTTTGGTTGGCATGCTTGATGCAATACATCTGACAGCTGTCAAAATGTATTTCTTAGATTTGGTTGACTATAGTTGAGTTAAATTTAAATCGGTCTATTATCCTGAGGATAGACAGTAGGCAGAGGTCACGTCGGTAATGCATTATTCGAAATGCATCGACCGATTATACGTCGAAGGTCGTAAAACACTAAGAGGTCTCGAGACTCACTGACCGATGTCTCTATACAGAGCGTACGACCTTTTAAAATAGTCCATAATATTTTATAGTAACTTCACTAGAGAGACGCTGCTACCGTCTTCCTAATATCAAATACAACCCTCGTCGTTTGGGGAACCATACCATCTCCTGGTATGGTTCGCTGTAACGACCCTTACACACAGGACAATGTGGGGTTGTGCATAGAATAATATAATACATACATAATAGAACGGGGAAGTGGGCGAAGTCCGCTTAGTCACTAAAATGTCACTAACACGTCAATTCACACGTATAAATGTCAATTTAATACGTGTTTTGACGTTACAATCGTTTCCAAATTTCGTATGTAAATTATTTAGCAAATTCCAAATTGCACCCTATTTACAAATAAATATGTATCCTATACCTTTAAAAACGAGTAATTCTTTATATATATATATATATATATATATATATATATATATATATATATATATATATATATATAAGAAAGGTTAAAGGTATAGGATACATATTCATTATATATATAATCGGAATCTCGGAAACGGCTCCAACGATTTTCATAAAATTTAGTGTCCAGGGAGTTTCGGCGGGCAATAAATCGACCTAGCTACGATTTATTTTTAGAAAATGTCTTTTTGTCCGTGTTTTCAGGCAATGAAAAACTGTTGTAACTGGTGTAAATTTTGTCACTGTGTTAATGATCGTAATAGCTCAAGTGGATATCGATCTGTCGCGAAATCGTAATGCCTTGGTTCGCGTCCTGTCTTCGGCCCAATTTTTTTTCCTTTTTTTTTAAGTTCCCTTCTTTTGTGAGAATATCTATTTTTTCGAGCCTTTTTTAGTACTTTTTTAAAAATTCGAAAATTTTAATTAAATTAATTGCATTCATGATTTTTTATTCAAATAACCAGTTCGGTTTTTTCTATTATGTCAATAAGATCGAAAAATATTATTCATCAGTATGTAATTTGTATCTAAATGGAATTTCAAAATAAAACCGAGCAAAGCTCGGTCTTAAGGGTACTTAAAATTTGAACGATTTTTTAATGATGATCTTGCACTTTAACAAAAAGTTTAAAATATGTAAATTTACTCAGTCTGTCAACACAGCGATCGGATTTGGCGACGCCAATCCTCGTACAAAATAAAGTTGACAGCCATTCTATTGTGTATTATAGTATTCTATGGGGTTGTGGATGTTCTACACCACCATTACATGTTTAATAAACGAGATAAATCCTTTAATGTTTTAATGTTTGTTTGTCACTAGGAGCGTGGTGAAACGCGTCATCCCATACGGCCGGTGCCACTGCAGGCCAGGTACTTGGCACGGTGTCGCGGCAGCCTGCAGAGTGTACCTCCACGAGTGCGTCCGCTGCTTCGCCGCCTTCGACCATTTCTACCATCGCGTCGTTATGCCCAAGATCAAGAGCGTTATGTTTTTCCATTTTTAAATTACATAAGTACTTTCTCGAAAGTCGAAGTTTGTTCGAAGTTTCGAGCTCGAAATCGACAGTTGTGTTCGCTATTTGTATTGTACAATGCAAAACTGAAACCTCCGTTTGTTACTCTTTGGTGACATAGTTTTATTCTGTAGAAGTCTGAACTTTAGTTTACTATAGTTAAACTTTCCACTATTTTATTTTATTGTCCCTATTTCGGTGGCCATAGATGAGAAAAGTAGCATTTTATAACATATTGTTTATAAACATTTGAATTAAAAAATAGAAGGCAAAAAGGCGCAAATACGTCCTCATTTTGATGCGTATTATTGTGCCTTTTTTGTATAAAAAAAATAAGTGTTCCACAGATAATTGAAGAAAATTGAAAAAACGCACTAAATATTAACTAACGGAAAAATATCGAATTGTATTTTACGAAGTAAAAAGGAAACAATGTCGACATGTAATTTACGAGCTAAACTGAAACTCCCAAAAACATATAACATAGATAAATGTTCATATTAACTGTTCTAGTTTCTAGTTACTTGTTTTAACCAGTAGGCTGTATGTACAAAAGTATTATGAATTGAATTACTTGTCTAATTTTATAATATGTGCCTATTCGTATCTTTTGCGCTTATATACGCTGTCTGAGGAAAACCCTGTTGAAAAATCTTAAAATAATAATATCGTTGGCACGTCTGTTAATGATCGTGTAAGTTCTGACAGACTTGATCAATTTAGGTTATGTTCACACAATATTGTTTATTTTGTCGGGATGGCACAAATTATACAATTATGGGCCATAATGACAAAATGTAGTTCTGATAGGTAATGCTGAGTTATTAATAAATTTTATATTTAGGTACACTTAAAAAGTCTAGAGTTTTAAAAAAATATATAGAATCGTGAAAATGATCGCGCCTCCTACCCTTTGAGTATTAAACCAAGTTGGTTGAATACTCAAAGCTCCTACCGGATGGGACTAAACAATGTCTGCTGTGCCAGCTAGTAATCTTATAAAACACATGGCGCTATATACTATGCGTGTCGTAATTTCGGGATACATTTCTAAAGTTGTCGATTTTTGTGATAACTGTCACATGTGTAAAGTTATTTTATCAAACCATCATATTTAAATGGAATTAAATATATTTAAAAAAAATCGTGCATGCATGCCATAACGAAAATAAATCTTACTAATGTGACAGAATGAAAAATCGAAAACTAAACTATATCTACGCAACACAGGAAGCATGTAGTCCTAGCCTTACGTAGGATTATTTTATTTTTTTAACTAAAACAGGGTATTTGGCGCTTTTCAAAAGCGCGCATTTTTGGAATTTTCTTAACGAATGTCAATCGCAACGATCAGATTTTTGGATGTGCTTAACACAAAAACGTATTTTTTGGAATAATATTATTTTTAAGTAATTTTTGAACGTTACGTTTTTAATACTAGGGCTGTCATACGCCCAGCATTTTCCGGTTTTAAATTAAATATTCGATTTTTCACAATTGTTAAATGATCCGAATTGGTACTAACAGCCAACTTCCGATGAAAAAGTAAAGTACTGGGTAGTATTATGAAATGATAAGAAAGTTTTTATGTAGATTCAGGTAGACCAGGGCCATAATTTTAACAAGTCTCGAGCGCAGACTTTTGTGTAGTGTTTTATGTTTAATTTATTCATCTCTCAAAACAAATTCTGCAGTTGAATTTAATTACAGCATTACCATATTTTGTGTCTGTAACTAAAAGCAATCACTATAAAAATTTATACGAGCAATTTTCATGAAACCATATCATATTTAAATTAATTTAAGCGTTAATTAATCATTATTTAATAAGTTTTCAAATTTTATAGATATTTTATAGATATAATTTTTCGTTTCTAGAAGTTACGAAAATATTCGAGAAATAACGATAAAATAAACCATCATCTTTATTGCTGAATATTTAGCATATTTTACAAAAATATTTCAGAATTTTTTTCTTGTAAAATCCAATTCTAATCAGAAATTGTTAAATAAAAAATAACAATAAAACGTTTAATGTAATTATATATAAGTTTGTTGTAAATTAAAGTTTATTAAAATCGATTCAACGCTATGCAGACATCATCACATATGTTAAAAAATTCAAAAATTTGTTTACCGCATGATATTAATGTATAAATTGTTAAATATAAGTATCTTATGAATTAGTTAATTAATTATTTAAGTGGTGGTCGAATGGTTAAAAGAGTTGTGCGATGATTAATTTAGTGTATTTGATTTAAAAAAAATTATATCCATGAATTGTGATAGTTTACCGTTGACTATTCCATATGTTATAACGCGTGCCAATAAGGAATATAAAGAGAATCAGAAACATAAACTTTGTCATTCAATATAGATTATAAAATAATACATATTCTTTTGTTTAATTACCACTGGTTCGGAAAAAAACTTCCGTCCTGGGAAGAACTAGCAAGAAATCCAGCGAGACGTTTATTAATAACAGCTATTTTTGTTACACAATTAATCATCAAAAAACAAATTCGAAATAGCTTGGTAACGGGTTATTCATCATCATCATCATCATCATCACAGTCCTTCACAAGTCCACTGCTGAACATAGGCCTCCCCCAAATAATGCCACAAAGCACGGTCCTGAGCCACCTGCATACATCGACTTCCTGCATATCTTACCAGGTCGTCACTCCATCTAGTGGGGGGTCACCCTACACTACGCCTACCGGTACGAGGCTGCCACTCGAGAACCTTTCTTCCCCATCGGTTATCGGTTCTTCGAGCTATATGGCCGGCCCATTGCCACTTCAGCTTACTAATCCGCCTCCGGCTATGTCGGTCACTCTGGTTTTACTGCGGATATCCTCATTTCTGAGTCTATCACGCAGAGAAACTCCGAGCATAGCCCTCTCCATAGCTCGCTGAGCGACCTTGAGCGTCCTCATACGGCCAGCAGTGAAAGACCACGTCTCAGATCCGTAAGTCATCACTGGCAACACGCACTGGTTGTACACTTTAGTTTTCAGAGATTGAGGTATACCTGACGAGAAGATGTGTCGTAATTTCCCGAACGCTGCCCAGCCGAGTTGAATCCGTCGATTGACCTCTCGGTCGAAGTTGGACTTACCTAGTTGGACTATTTGTCCCAGGTAAACGTACTCGTCAACAACTTCGAGCATAGTGCTCCCAACAACTACCGGCATAGGTGTGACATGGACATTAAACATGATCTTTGTTTTGTCCATGTTCATCTTAAGACCTATCCGTTGGGAGGCACTATTGAGGTCATTGAGCATAGTGCTTAAGTCCTCCAGCGATTCTGCCATAAGGACTATATCGTCGGCAAATCGAAGGTGAGTGATGTACTCGCCATTGATGTTAATACCGTATCCTTTCCAGTCCAGTAGCTTGAAAACGTCTTCCAAAGCAGCGGTGAAGAGTTTCGGGGATATAACGTCACCCTGTCTTACACCTCTCTGCAGTTGGATAGGTTTCGAGCTCTGGTTCTGTACTCGGATAGCCATCATAGCCCTACTGTACAAACACTTCAGCACTTCGATATACCGACAGTCAACTTGGCACCGCTGAAGGGACTGTAGCACCGCCCAAATTTCGACGGAATCAAAGGCTTTCTCATAGTCCACATACGCCAGGCAAAGTGGCAAATTGTACTCTTCAGTCTTCTGTACAATCTGCCGCAGGGTATGTATGTGGTCTATGGTACTGAAGCCTTTTCGGAAACCGGCTTGTTCGGGAGGCTGGAAGTCATCGAGTCTGCGTGCGAGACGATTCGTAATGACTCTCGAAAACAGCACGTAAACGCGGCTCAGAAGGGAAATCGGTCTGTAGTTCTTCAAGAGAGCGTTGTCGCCTTTCTTAAAGAACAAGACCACCGCACTTCTGCTCCACGCCTCTGGAGTAGTGCCACCATGGAGGACGGAATTGAAGAGCTTCTGAAAGACTTCAAGTATCGGTGTTCCACCCGCTTTCAGAAGCTCCGCTGTAATTCCATCCTCGCCTGGGGCCTTGCCGTTTTTAAGGTGGTGGAGAGCCATTCTAATCTCGACTGACTGACGTCCGGGATATCATCAGAATAGTGTCGGATAAGACTAATAAAGAAGATAATAACGGGTTATTATCGTCCATAAATTCCTTAATATTATAAAAAACTATTTTAAGCAGACTTAGTTTAATAAAGATTTTGAACTTCGAGCAGGTCAAATAGGTGATATTCCACTCGTACATTATGTCCATCCCTGTTTCACTTTTACGGTGAGAAAAAAAGATTGAAAAACTCAATAAAGTTTGAATCATAAAATACTATAATACACAAGTATTATACTATTCTATTGTTTGAATGGTTGTAAATTCGCCGTCGCTGTGTACGTCCAGATTGCTAGCTTTGTTAAATATTTACAGTTCGCCAATGTTTATTATTAATTATCGTTTCTATAAATTTATCGAAGGAACTATTAGTTAAAATGACCTAATTATACAACGCTGAAATAAAATATAAATTATTCATTTCAAATACCTTATATTTAATATAGTCAGTATGATCAGAAATAAACAAAATTATTTTATGCTGTTCAAACTTCAGTAAGTACCTTCAGTTATTCGTGATTCTATTCTGAAATGACACGCGTTATACCTGGTTATACCATAAAGAGTGGAAAACTCATACCAAAAACAAATACTTAAAAATATTGATTTACCTTTTGCCTAAAATATTACTTAAAATTAAGTGTTTTATCACATCTTTTATTATTATATTCCATTAATAATAATGTTTACCCATTTAGTATGTCATAACCGTTAATTTTAAACTCAAACGTTAATTTGATGATTGCACTGAAATTAATCTCTTTTGCTGATTATTATTATCAATTTGTTATCAAATTTATTATTATATATTTAAAAGGTTAAATGTTTTCGATTTATTAAATTTTATTAACCGTTAACTTTAAACGTTAATCAGACAATATTTTAGA